AAAAGAGCTGTACGATTGCTCAGAACTCTAGTACGAAACTGGAGATAGGCCTGCTAAAAGCATCTGTTGTCAGAGGGGAGAGCAACAAGGGTGATGTTATTGTGGGTGTCTGCTAAACACAGGAGAGTGAGGTGGATGAGGCTTTCTTCAAACAGCTAACGAAAGTAACCCTATCACAGGCCCTTGTTCTCGTGGGCACATCAATCACCCTGACATCTTATGGGACAGCAATACAGCAGTGTGCAGGCAATCCAGGAAGTTTTTGGAGAGTGTTGGGGACAACTTCCTAGTGCAAGTGCTGGAGAGGCCAACTAGGGGCCATGCTCTTCTTGACCTGCTGGTCACAAACAGGGAAGAATTGGTGGGGAATGTAGTAGTGGACAGCAACTTGGGCACCAGCAACCATGAGATGATTCAGTTCAGGATCCTGAGGAAAGAAAGGAAGGAAGGGAGCAAAGTAAGGAACCTGGACTTCAGAAAAGAAGACTTCAGCTCACTCAGGGAAATGATGGGCAGGATCCCCTGGGAGGCCAGTCTGAGGGGGAAAGGAATCCAAGAGAATTGGCTATACTTTAAAGAAACCTAACTGAGGGTGCAGGAATGAGCCATCCTAATGCTTAGTAAAACTATTGAGTCTGGCAGAAGACCAGCTTGGCTTATCAGGGAACTCTTAAGTGAACTAAAACACAAAAAGGAAGCTTACAAGAAGTGGAAGCTTGAACAAATGACTAGGGAGTATAAGAGTATTGGTTGAGCATAGTGGGATGAAATCGGGAAGGCTAAAGCACAACTGAAGTTGCAGTTAGCAAAGGGTGTGCAAGGTAACAAGTAGGGTTTCTACAAGTATGTCAGTAACTAGGCCTGTGCGAGTCGGCAGCGATCCAATCTGGCTTCAGATCCGGCCGCTTTGGATGGCCATGATCTGATTCAGAGCTCCGGACTGGGTTTCAGCCTCCATCCAGCCGAAGCTTCAGAGCCACCTCGGAGATCCGGCCATAGGGTATAATGGGGAATCAATGAAATATCTATAACTTTGTTGTTTTTGTCTGGTTTGGATGAAACTTGCAGGGATGGTAGCCACTGCTTAGAGCATGAAACCTGCCAAGTTTCAAGATGATTGGTGCAGGGGGTTGGGGGAAACTGTACCCCAAATTCTTGAAAGCCAAACTCCTGTCATGGCTGTGTGTCACACCACAGGGGGGTCAAAACTGCAGGGGTGATAGCTCTTACTGAGGCCACAAAGCCTGCCAGGTTTCAAGGAGATCGGTGCAAGGGTTTGGTGGAAACTGTACCTCAGAACCCAGAAGTCCCTGCACCAATCTCCTCGACAGCTGGCAGGCTTCATGGCTGCAGCAGGGGCCTCCCTCCCCGGCGCCT